GCCTGCCAAGCTCGACGAGCGCGCCGAGTCTGTACGTCCAGTCTGTCATTCCACCACCGCCGTGAGGCCCGTCTGATCTTCAAGCCAGGTTTCGAGTTGTGTAATTTCTTCTGCGCTGATGCTGTCATCAGCCACGATCTGTCCGACGAGGTATCCGGTGGACCTGTTCGATCCAGACCAGCTCCTCCCCATCGTGTCGAAGGCGCCGCTGACGGAGCCTCCAGCGAGCGCATGAGCGGTCGAGTTGACGAGGGTGCCAGCGCCGTACTGGCGCACGAACCCATCAACAAAGTCGCCGCGCGCGACCGCGCCGCTGGTGTCGTCATAGCCAGTCGCTGCGAGACTCTTGGCCTCGACCGCACCGCGTGTCACGCGGTGGCTGTGAGAAGATGAGGGGCTCGCTCGGTACCAGTAGCCCTTGTTCGTCGCGTCGTTCTCGTTGTGGTCGTAGAGCATCCCCGTGCTTTGCCCGAGCGTGACGAACCACGTGTGGTAGAAGCCGAGCTCGAGCACTGCGCTGTAGGCGTCATCCCCATCGAAGTAGGCTGCGGGCAAATCACCGAGGATACTCTCGCGATAGAGCGCTCGCTCAGAGGTGGTAATCTGGCGCACCTCCTGACCAGCAGCCCAGTCAGTCAAGTACTCGAGCGGTTCGTTGTCGAGGATGCCTGAGTTCTGCGCGTACTCGCGCGCGCTCGAGGGCGCATCGGATGGCGTGGCCTCCCAGGGAAGCCAGTACATCAGCAGCACGCTCTCGAGGGAGAGCGGGGTCCACTCCTCGCCCGAGCGCCTCCTGCCTCCCCAGCCCCCCAGGCGGAGTCCTCCTGTCTGGCCAAAGCTGCGCATCAGAATGTCCCTTGCTCGAGCACGCTCAGCGTGATGACCGTGTCGGCTCCCGCGCTCTCGAGAGAGAAGGGGCCGTCATCGACGAGCAGTGGAGGCGTCGTGTAGTGGTCATCGCCTCCCATCGTGGTCTTGATCAGCAGCTCGCCGCCGGATCCATCGAGCAGGGTGATGTCCACCGTGCGGCCTGGCTCGAACGCGAAGACGACCTTCGCGCGCGCAGGCAACCCGATCAGGTCGATCTCGCTGGCTGCGTCTGGTGTGGCCTTCGCAGTGGGCGTGCGGCGCGCGCCGTAGAGCTTGGAGTATGTCGCGGTCATGGGGTCCTCGGTGAAGGGGATCAGGCAAAGATCGGCGTGACCGCCTCGTCCCAGGGGATGAGGAAGTCGACTCCAGATGTCGTCAGTGACTCGATGTAGACGAAGTCCGTGGAACCGTTCTCCTCGAAGTCACCGGACTCTTCGGTGTTGTTTTGAGGTGAGAAGAAGAGGTAGCGCATCCACCCCGCGTTGGCGCGGTCGTCGGTGCCATCCACATCCTTGAGGTTGCAGACCACCCCGGAAGGAACGCGCGCTCCTCCAGGGTATCCCCTCGATCCAGACTCAATATTCATATATGCGTCGTACCAACCACCAGGCGACGCTGCGTAGAGTCGGTTCTTGAGGCCGCTCGCGACGGTGTAGAGGATCCCACTCGCGACGGTGTCCAACAAATCTCCGAGCTCGCCCAAACCTCTCACCGGATTGGCGAACGGGAAGGACCTCCACACATCGCCGAAGTGAAGCACCTCGGCGGCCTGGCTGTTGTCGCTCGTCATCCAGATCACGAAGAACGCGTCCGCGAGCTCCACCAGGTAGAAGTCTGCCGATCGCGTCGCGGCCAGATCGACCATGGTGCGCAACCCGTTCCACTCGGAGGTGTCGGCGACCGCGTTGGTCGCGGTGAACCCACCGAGAGGATCGGTCGCCATCTCCAGGTCAGTCGCGCTCGCCTCGCGCAAGGCAACCTCCCAACCATCGGCGTGTCGAAACCAGGCGCCGGCGGCGTCAGTGCCATCGACGGTGAGGTTGGAGATGTTGGCGGCGATCGAGTCGATGTAGTCGCCGATGGAAGTGCCACCAGCGGTGAGCTCGTGCACGGTGATAGGCCAAGCCATGCGGATCCTCTTATGCGTTGATTGTGACGGTCAGGCCGGATGGCACGGGCTCCTCGCTGCTCGAGTCGGCCAGCACCTCGGTGAAGGTGTCGTTCTTGACGACGATGTAGTTGTGCTCTTCGAGCCCTGGGGTTGCTGGACGGTCATCACCCGAGACAACCGTGGTCTTCCTGAAGCGGTCGCGGAACCGACTCATATCAAGCCTCGTTGTGTGGCGTGAGCTTTAGCGTGAGCGTGCCCGCAGCCGGTGCTGTTTTGAGCCGCGCGTACACACGCTCAGCAGCTCCTTCCACATCCCAGGCATCGAGCACGCCGGTGTCTTGGCCGAGCGCCTGAGTCGAATGGAAGAGCCAGTCCTCACCATCATAGATGTAGAGATCCACGCTGCTCGTCGCTCCCGAGGAGCTGTGCTTCCACAAGAGGTTGAGCGTCGCCCATCCTGCGACATCAGCACCATCAGTGCTCGATGCAGGTGCGCCATTGTCCGCGCTCACGCCATCGAGCAGCTTGAATGGTGTCATCGTTGGCGCCACGCGGATCGATGCGACCGCGGCGGCGACAGTGGTGCGGACATACCGCACCGCGGCCTGGAACTTGTCCCAGAGCGTTGTCATGTGTCTCTCATTGTGTGGAGTGAGTTAGGAGATCTTACCGGAGGCGCTCAGGGTTTCCCCGTCAGGCGTGCCATCAGTAGGGTCGAGGTCGACATCGAGCGCCGCGATCTCAGCGTTGGCTTGAATCTCCTCGATGACCCCTCGACACAGGTAATGCACGAGCGCCTCGAACTGGTCGGCGCTTGTATCTGGCTTGGCCAGCGCGCCGTACAGACCGTCCGTGTCCGCGTCGATATGCGCGAGGACTTTCGCGGCGGCACCTGCTGCTGTCATTGCCATGTCACTTCCCCTTGATGTTGTCGCAAGCGGTGTCGCCTGCGCTGGTGGAAGGTGGGGGAACCGTCGGCGGAGTCGTGGGCGCTGGCGGCCCAGGAATCAGCGGTCCCACTGTGTCATTGTGCAGATGCGCCTGTGCCCATGTCTCGAGCGCAATGAGCCGTGTCTCGACGCGATCGGCGCGAGCCACTCCGGTTGAAAGCGCTTCGCCTCCGATCTCGACCAGGTCGGCCTTGACCAAGATCTTGCCGCCTCCCTTCGCTTCGATCCTCAACACCCCGTTCTCGGGCGTGATGTCGAGACGCTGCTCACCGATGATGATGGTGAGTCCGTTCTCGGCGCCGAGCTCCAGGTGCCCTGGGTGTTCAGCCAAGTTCGCACGCAACCACGCGGTCATCTGCTCGGCGAGTTCGTCCCACACCTGGCCAAACCAGGCAGGCCGATCAGGATCTCCATCCTGGCTGATCATCGCCAGTCGCGTGCCGACCGCGGGGATCACATCGACCAGCGGAGAGCTGATGCGCTTTGCGTTATCGATTGCGCCCTCAGCGAGCCACTCCGGCAGATGCTGGACGCGCTTGATCGACTGCAACGCATCGGTCACTCGAGAGGCATAGTAGCCGCGCCGCCTCCCCCTCATCTCCCGGCGGAGTTCGTTGATCTGTTCGAAGACCTGATACATCAGTCGTTCACGCCAAAGACGGCGATCTTGACCACCATCAAACCTTCCTCGAAGGCACCGCTCCCATCTTCGACGGCCACGTCGATGTAGTAGCGATCGGTGTCTTCGGTGATCGTGTAGGTCTCGGTGGTCGCGGTCGCGCTGTTGGTGAACACCTGGATGAGCACCATGTCGAACTTGGAGATGGTTATGGCTCCGTTGGAAACGAAGGTGTTCCCAAACCAACTGTTCTTGAGCACGGTAAAGCGCACGACCCCAACGCCAGTGCGGTCTTCGTCCTCGATGTTGACGCCAGACCCCGAGCCTCCGGTTGTTGGGTCCGCGAAGAACTGGAAGAAGCCCACCGCTTTGGCGGCGTTCCTTGCCATCGCTTCGGTGCGCTGGACATGACTCACGAGGTTGATCTTCGGCGCGCTCCCGTCTTCGTCCGCGCCGTCATGAACGTGGCTAAAGATCTTGTTCAGGAAGGCAGCCGCGATCGGCGTCACCAGGTCTACAAAGGAAGTTTTGGCCATGGCTCATCTCAAACGGGGAAGTCGTCAAGCAGCGCGCCGAACAGGTCGACGATGCGGTAAGAGCTGTCTTCGGGGGCGATCGGTGCGAGCAGTTCACGTAGGACAGCGGGCTCGATGGAACCATCCGGGATCGCGATCTCCCATCGGCGAGCAAACACACCAGGCCCACACACCTGACCAGCCAAAGCAATCCCCGCGATGGCGCCGCCCGTGCAGAGATTTCGCACCTCGGACTGCACGCCCGTGATCGCCTGCACCCAGGCTTCGATCGCAGGGATGGACCCCTTGCTGCTCCACGTCTGCCACGCAGCCTTGATCAGGTTGCGTTTGCGGCGGGCTGAGAGCCCTCGGTTGGGAGGCAAGGCCACGACATACATAAGCCAGTCGAGCGCATCCTCGGGCGCGCCCTCCGGGTCGATATAGCGGTAGAGCGTCTCGGCGTATCGCCTGGACACATCGAGCGGGCGCCCGAGAGCATTGGCGATGCCGCGCGCGAGCGGCTCCTTCCGCCATGCTGGGGGCAGGAGGTGGAGTAGGAAACTGTCAGCCATCAAGGTCCCTAAAACAAAAGGCGTGTTTCTCAACCTGAGAAACACGCCTCCATTTCCGAAAGTTTTTGCGGAGATTTACTCTTCTTCGTTCACCAAGAAGGCAACGACAGTCGCCGAGTGTGCATCATCGAGTTGCTCGTAAAGACCTTGGAGTTCCAACTCAATATCGAGGCCATCTTTTCCATCAAGTAGTTCGACCGGCTGGTGACTGAGGTGTGGGTAGATTCTCACACCTCTGATCAACATCTTACGGGTCTTTTCGAGCACACGCCGAGCTCGCGACCTGGCTTCATTACGATCCGCCGGGTCCTTGATGGGACAATGTTTCTCCATCAGGTCGGCCACCGCTGTTTCCACCTTGGAGCTTTCCGCATCCTTTGCGTTTGCTTCCAACGAAGCGACGATTTCGGCGGTTCCGATAGGGCTTTCTTGGATGGACTCGATGTGTCCTCGCAAGGTCAAAATCTCATTCGCTATACCCAATCCATGGCGTAATGTCGTGACCAGCGCGGCCAAAATAGCCACGCTGGCGCTGACCGCAATGATGGTTGAGCCCCGCTCCAAACGAACAACCTCATAACCTTCGGTGCGCTCGTCGGTCACCTCAGCAAGGAGGTCGAGGTATTTTTGAAATTCGCCTGCTGTTTTGGAAAGGTCTTCGAGCGTATTCGCCGAGAACTGCTCCCGAAAGACTGCTGTAACATACTCTCCGGGTAAGGTTGGCTGAGGCAAATTGAGACCACTAAAACCTTGCGTGAGATTGGAAAGGTTTTTTCTGAAGTTATTGTAGCCCAAGTTGTAGTCATCAGCGAGCTTTCTGCGCTGTCCTGGGTGCGCTTCTTGGGCGACATATTCAAAGAAGTTTAGTGCAGGCTGACCCACAAACTTATCTCCCGAGAGAAGTTCGTAGGCTTGTTTTTGCTCTGTCGACCACTCTGGTTTTGGATGCAGTGCGAATATACGGCGCAAACTTCCAGGGATATCCAAGTCCACATTGTTTGTCTCGGCTGTGGGTAGTTTCTTGATGAGACTTGTTATCTGCCCGTGAAACGAGGGTGTAAAAACAATGCTCTTCAAATACTCAGCCACAGAATAGAGGGCATGGACTTGCACCACTGACTCCTTGCGTTGATAGTCTTGACGAAGAACGGTACCAATCCAGACCGATTCGTCCAGAGCAAATCCTTCAGAACTACATCTGCGTGATTTGACCTTGCCTCACTGCGCGGGCAGAGTAGGAATTCTCAAAACAAAGCCCAGCCTCAGAGCACCATCTGAGGCTGGGCACAATCACATGCGCGATGGAGCCGCGATGCGATCGATTCCCCACCTTTATGCTGTGTTTGCCCTCGGCCTGGTCGCCTGTGCCGATCCCGATCCTGGCAAGGTTGTCCATCCTCGTTCAGACATGGCCAGCGCCGATATGAGCGCGCCTGCGGACATGCCAGACACCGAGGACATGGCCGCGCCGCAAGACATGATCCCGCCTGTGGATATGGCGCCGGATATGCCCGAGCCCGACGAAGGCCCCGACTGCACATGCACCGGCGAGACCGAGTGCTGCGATGGCTGCGATCCCATCAACGCAGGCGGCGCTTGCGACGATGGCCTCGAGTGCACCCTTGGCACCACCTGCCAGGATGACGGAACGTGCGCTGCGGCGACCAGCTCACCTTGCGACGCGCAGCTCGAGCACCCCGATTGCCAGATCGCCATGTGTGACGAGGTGGCGGGATGCACCTCCATGCCAGCGCGAGAGGGCTTCGAGTGCGGCACCCCGGCAGAAGGCACCTATGATGGCGTGTGCGAGAGCGGTGTCTGCGTCGGGCAACAGCAATGCGAGTGTACCGAAGCCGATGGGCCTTGCTGTGATGGGTGCCTGTTCAAACCTCAAGGTACCGAGTGCGGTGTTTCCGAAAGCGGCGGCATCGCTTGCAACATCGGTGAGTGCGGCGGCGATTGGGAGCAGACTCGTACCCGGTTCCTTTGCAACGGAACGGAAGCTGTGTGTCCCACAGAAGGCGGCGAACAGTTCGTGCTCAACTCAGGAACCTGCGCTGCTGACCAATCTTGCCAATCGGCGAGCGCGATGCCTTGCGCTCCGGACCCGTCCTGCCCTTAAGCCTCGCTCACACTGAACTCAAAGGGCGGAGAGTGATCGCCACCCCAGTGGATAAGGCCGAACAGATCCACAACATCGGAGCTTACCCCAGGGGAGATGTCGGCAAGGGAAAGGGCTGGAGCAGGGTGCGAGGGCAACCAGTCGGTTCCATAGTTGTCCGAGTACCTGTACGTGATCGCGCCGACGCGCTTCACGCCATCCACCCGATCAATGAGGCTGATCACCTCGTTGGCATACAGAGTCTCACCCCATTCCCACGCGCTCCCGGTGATGGTCCTGCCATCATCCCCGATGATGTCATAGGCGGTGAGGTACTCCACGAGCGCGGCCTTGATGGAGGCCTCGACATCGGCGAGCACATAGCCCGTCTTCAACACAACCTCGACGCTCTCGATCATCACCAGGCGCACCGGCGCGAGGAAGATCGAGAAGCCCACCCCGCCGAGCGCCTTGGCCTTGAGCGCGTCCCTGATCTCGGTTTTGAGTTCACTGGACAGCGCGCCATCGTTGAGCGTGCCGTCGAGGAGCAGCCCCACCGCGTACACCCCGACAGAACGCTCCAATACACCTTCGCTCAGGTAGTAAGTCCCCAGCGCCTTCGCACGCGAAACTCCATCCACTCGTGCCGCCTCATCAGCCGCATCTTCGCCGGTGACGATCCTGTTTTGTTTACGCACCGCGAGCGGTGTCCTGGCGATCATCTGGTCCAGGCTCTCGAGGTCCTGGCCACCGCTGGCCTCAGCCGCGTTGGTCACGCTAGCGATGCCTGCGACGGGCACATCGAGCTTGGTCAGCGTGCCAGCAGACACGTTGGTCGCGGCACCTGTCTCGGTTGCCGTGGCGGCCACGTTGGCGGAGGCCCCACCAGAAGGCACCGTGAGCGCCACGTCCGTGGCAAACTCGATGGCGTCCGCTCCCGAGCCCGTCTTGACCACGGTCCCCGCTGGCACGGTCACATCGGTCACCGTCGAAGCCGCCGAGGTGAAGGTGAGCGTGGCCGTCGCGGCGGTCGCCGGCTCGCGCTCGATACCGAGCAGCTCGATGACCTTGAGCAGCAACTTCGTGGGCCACTGGTTGATCCAGTAGGTGCACATGGCATAGATCGAGCCCGTGGCCTCGATGGCTGCGATGAGCCAGTGCGCTCGTGAGCGGTCGGTGATCTCGTCTGGCAAGTCGTCGATGACGGACGCGACCATCTCCTCTTCATCGCGAGGATCGATCACCAGCGTGGGAATCTCTTCTGCCATCAGCTCTTCCTGTAGAACGGATAGGTCCTGTTGAGCGGGACATTGCTCTCGATCGGCGTGATCCAGATGCGTAGCTCGAGCGTGCCGCTGGCTGCATCATCGCGAAGGATGTCGACGCGGACATCCTTGACCCTCGGCTCGCTCCTCTCGATGGCGCGCCCGAGCGCGTAGGCGATCGCTTCCGGCGAACCCATTGGCTCGAGCACCACCGGCGGAGCTCCAAAAGTCGGATCGAGGGGCCTTGTCCCGAGCGGTGTCGAGAGGACCTGCTCGATCCCTTGCCAGAGCGCGTCCTCGCCAGACACGAACGCGAGGCGCCCCGCGCTCGTCACCTTTGGAGGCCACACGCCCGCTGTGCCAAACAAGTCCGCCATCAGTCTGTGCCACCATTATAAAGCTCGAGCGTGGTCGTGCTCACACCCGCCAGCTTGTGCTTGACCTGCTCGACGCGCCAAAGCCCGGAGAAGCGAGGGCCATAGCCTCGGAGCGCGACCACATCGCGCGGCTTCACGAGCTCCTCGAGGTCCGTCTCGATCGAGCACTCGAAGACCTTCTTGGCGCGCGCGAGCGATTGCCTCGCCCAAGTCGCGGCTTGCTTCGAGAACGATGGCGCGTCCACGTCCACTGAAGACACACCCGTGCGCTCGAGCTCCACGGCGGCGAGTTCTGCTTCACCTTCGTCCGCAGCGCTGATGACCTCTCCCGAGTAGTCGAGGATGTGGCGCGTGTTCATGCGCAGCCGCTCGGTGATCGTGAAGCTCACGTTGCCTCGCACGTTCACGCCGCGCCGAAGCTCGAGCGCCACGTCACCTTCCTGGACCTCGAGGCCGTCATCGATCAGGAGCAGCCTGTCGCCATCCACGAAAAGCGCATGCCCCACCAGGGAGCACAGGCGCTCGAGCAGTTCGTAGTCGGTCTCGCCGTGTTGAAGTACTCGGCCAAGATCGCGAAGCTCGCTGACGTTCGCGCGCGAGAAGTCGGCGGTGAGGCCCTGTTCCTTTGCCGTGCGTTTGGCGAGCTGCTCGATCGAGGTCTGCGCGATCGCCTTGGCGCGCTGCTTTCGGCGCGCGCCCTTGAGCTTGTCGGTGGCCGTCACGCTGACGCGGCCTGGAGGCTCGTCGCCTGCGAGCTGGCTCACCCATCCAGTGAAGATCTTTGTGGGCTGCGTGCCGCTTCCCACCCACACATCGAGTGGGATTTTGGTGTCCCTGGTGGGAAGTGGGAGGCTGTTCAACAGCTCGAGCCTCGGATCCGCCAGGTTGATCGAGGCGCTGCTCGCGCGCTTGCCCGTCGAGAGCGTCACGTCCCCGCCGAGCATCACACCATCGCCTCGCTTGTAAATCCTCCCGGCGAGGTTCACGAAGTACGGTTTTTCAGCCAAGGGTCACACCAGGGAGTGTCAGGTCGTCTTGCGTCAGGAGCGGCGCGAAGGTCACTGGCGTCGTGCGCCCGAGCCACAGGATCAGCCACAGGTCGCGCGAGATCTCGAGGTCCACAGCGAAGCGCCTGCCATCGCTCTCGAGCAGGACGCGCGGCGCGACCGGATCGCCATCGTCGACGTTCTCCCAGCTCGCGTCGGTGAGCGCGACCGCCTCCCCCTCCACCGTGTCACCAGGTGCTTTGAAGGCCAGCGTATATTCGCCGAGCGCGGTGTCCTCGACGATCAGCTCGCCCTCGCCCGAGAGTTCTGGCGATGCAAACGCGAGCTCGAGCGGGATGCCCGTGTCCGTCGTGAGGTTCTCTTCCTCGACACCCAGACCATCGATGGTCTCGAAGTCGCGAAGGAGCTGCTTGCTCGGCGTCTGGTCGCGCGCGCGCAGGTCCCATGGTGGAGTGTCCTCGGTCTCATCGAGGATGCCTCGCCACTCGCGCCACTCTCCAAGGCCACGGTGGGCCTGGTAGAAGATCGACGCGTCGCCGATGATCGTCGCGCGCTTTCGCTCGAGCGCGGTGTCGACCGGCGAGCCAAGGCGATCGTATGGTGAATCAGATCGCACGCTTGACACCAGCCTCGGTTAGATGTGATCTGCCTCTCAACATCAATTTCGCATGGGGATACATATGGATTATGGCCTGGCTCAAAGCACCGAAATCAAGGTTGCCAACTTCATCAAAACCTCGGCCATCTTGACCGCGATTCTCAACGTGATCATCGGAGGCCTGGTCGCCACAGAAGACTTTTGGACTGGCTTCTTCTACATCAATGCTGCGTTAATCGGATGTGCGATGCTTTGGTTGTTCGGTGCGCTCGTGGCGCTTGTCGCCAAAATCAGCAGCCAACTCGAGCAGCAGCGCGCGGTCTCGAGCGAGGCGTCGAATTTGCTTCGGAAGCAGCGAGATTCGGCACCGGACACGAGCGATGTCGAGCAGCTGCGTGCTGAAAATGAAGAACTCCGAGCATTGCTCGAACAAGTCGTCGAGCAGCGCGAAGCAAGCGCTCAAAGCTGATCGTCATTCGCGGTAATGGTCATCGAGATCTCGGCCACCCTGGCATAGCCACGAGAATCGGTTCGTACCCGCCGAACGGAAAGTTGACTGATGTGGCCCCGAATCGAATGCGCGCCTTGCAGCAATTGAACCCTGGGAGCCTCCTGTGTCTCGTCGAGGATCAGTTGCATGGCACCCTCCAAAGGAGAGAGGAACTCACTCTCGAACTGCCGCGGATCTTTTGCCTCGCCGAGCCATTGAAAGCTGCGTTGCGCTGGATCAAAGCCTTCGAAGTCCGAGATGTCTCTGGCAACGCCTGGCGCTCCCCTCGCGCGCCAGCGCGCCCCATATTCCACATCCCAGCTCTCAGGGTTGTGTGGGAACCTGACCTCAAGGAACTCGCTGCCGTCGAAGTTGAGTTCGATGAGCAGCACGGTTTGGTAGAGGTTCGCGGGCGTGACAGGTGGCGTTAGGGTTGCATTACCGGCAGTGTTCGCGATGTCTTGCGCCACTTCTCTCAAGTCACGAATCACAGGCATATTTAGCCTCCGCTCGGGGAGAGCACTCCGTAGATGTGCTGTAACCCTCGAAGCCGGTTTTCTACTTCATCCGCTGCTGTCTTCGCGATCAGTTGGGCCGTTTCAGCTGTCGCGTTCCCCTGTACGCTCACATTGATGTCTCCCATCAACTGGCGAAGGCCTGAAGCCAAGCCCATACCTGCTTGTTGAAAGCGCAGCGCATTTTCGAGGCCACGCACCTTATCATTCGTGGTCCCCTTGGAACGGTTGATGGCAGCCGCGACGGCCCCTGCCTCCAGATCACCATCAGCACCACTGAATATGGGCGTCGCCCCTTTTCTCAGACGGACAGAAAGACCTTCGCGCCGCAGCCGAGTGTTGAGCATGTTCTCGACTTCGGATCGATCTTTGTCTGGGGTGAGGTTATTCAGGGCCATCGCGATGCCCTTCAGCGAAGCCTGGGAACTCCGATCGCCACGCATGGCGAAAAACGCTTCCGTGTTTGTCGCGTCAACAAGTCGGTTCCTGCTTTCTTTCACCCCAAAGAAGTCTTCCCGGAGCTGCTTTGCGGTGGCCCTGTTTCGTTCATCAATCGCATCTTGGCGACGCTTTCGTTGTGCGCGCGTAGCTTCATCAGCTTGTTCTTCGAACCCTTTGAGAGCGCTGGCGGTCTTCTCGGTGACGTGCCCGAGCGTGGCAACCGCGCCTATGGTGGTCCCAAGAATCACCCCTCCGGCGGCGGTGCCTGCAACGCCAAATGTTCCCACAACCCCCTGGGTCGCAAGAGAGCGAACAAGCCCTCCACCACCTGCCTGTGCAACGGAACCCAACTTTCCTGCGTTCCGCTGGAGGAATGAACCCGCACCGCCAATGCCTCCACCAGGCATGTTGACGACATAGACAGGTTGAGCCCCACCGAACTCCGCGAGTGCGCCGCCAGCGCCGCCTCCCTTCTTGCCAAAGAGGACGCGGCTTCCGAGCGCGAGCGCTCCCCGAGTGGAGGCACCTCCTGTCAACTTGTGCGCGGCGAGCGCGCCGCCAGTGATCCCGAGGATCGTCTGATTGTCTTCGATGAACTGCTTCGCGTCGCCGATGAATGCGCGCGCGTCTCGGATCGCGCCAGGCAGCGCACGCGCGAGACGCACCGAGCCTTTCGCCATATCAGCGGTGAAGCCTGCGAGCTCCTTCAGGTCACGTTTAAACTCGGGGTCGGTCCTGAGCTTGGCGAAGTCGCTCCCGATGTCATCGAGGCCGTTCTTTAAAACCTCGAAGCCAGGCTCCCCCGCCTCCCGCATCATCTCGGTGAAGTTGTCCTTGAGGGTGGAGAGTTTGCCGTTGAAGGACTGCGAAAGCGCCGCGACGACATCGCGCCCACCGGTCTGCTTCGCGAGTGCTTCTTCCACACCTCGGAGCGCGGTTTGACCGAGGGTCTCACCACGCTTCTTCATCTTCTTGAGGTCGTCCCTCTTGAGCTTGAGGCCGAACTCCTTGAGCCGCTCGAACTCCAACCCCTCCGCATCGAGGATCGCCTCGGCGGCGTCGCTGATGGTTTTGTCCGGGTTGATCGCTGCCATCTGGCTCGCGAGCTTCACGAGCTTGACGTTCTGGTCGACGTTCTCACCCGTCAAGCGGAGCAAGCGCTTGGAGCCATCGATGAGGTCGCCCTGCGCGAACGGGGTCGAGGCCGCATAGGAGCGCAGCTCGTTCATGAGCGACGTGGCCTTTTGCACATCGCCCATCATCGTATTGAACGTGATGCGCTGAGACTCGAGCGTCGCGTTGGAGCCGATCATCGAATCGAAGATGGTCTTACCCGCGCCACCGGCAGCCAGTCCCACCGCGAGTCCCTTGAGGCTCATCGCATGACCGACAAGCTGGCCTGCGGTCGAGCTCGCATGATTTGCCGCGCGACCGATGGCGTCGAACGTACGCTCGAGACGGAGACCTTCGCTGCGAGCGTCCTTGAACCCGCGCTCAATCGATCGGCTGGCGCTGCGTGCCTCATCCTTGAGGCGCTTCAAGGCGCGCCGGCCCTGGTCCCCCATGGTGGGTTTGAGCCTGAGTTCTGCCTCGCGGGTCGCCATGTGTCAGGATTCCTCGAGCGCTTGTTTGCGCCATGTGCTCATGAGCACCGCAGCTTCGGTCCAGGACTCGAACTCGGCGCGGGTCATCTTCATCAAATCGAGCGGATCGAACCCTAGCTCGGCGAGTTGGAGGACTCGGGCTCGCCGCTCGACGAGTTTGGGTCAGACTCGACTTTAGCGAGGCCAGCTTCCACTTCGGCGAGCTTGCCACGCATCAACCGCCCATCCCGCCGGGACAACTGACGAATGTGATCGCTGGTGACCCTGGCGATCGAGCCGAGGCTCAGACAGCATGAGGCGATGACCTCGAGCTCCCAAAGCGTCTCCGAGTCTCCCTCCGCGCGCTTTTCCAGATCGCGGGAGGTGGCGAGCATGGCGAGCTTGCGATCGGCGACGACCTCATCATTCATGGTCGGCGCGCGCATCACGACTTTCGTGTGCGCGTTGCCATCAGTGTCGATGTAGCCACGCTCGAGCTCGAACTCGATGGTAGGTTGCTTGTTCACGCGATGTACCTTGGTTGGAGGGTGATGGAGAGCATGGAGACCTCAGCCGAGCCCTTGGTCACCGAGCGAGGCGAGAGGCTGGTCTTGGCGCAGCCGTGGTAGTAGTCAGGCACGCCAATGGGCACCCCTTCGCTGCTTACAGGTTGGACGATCAGCGTGAGCTCGACCCGCGCGCCACGATCCCACGCCTTGGCCCACGCGATGATCGGCGCATCGACAGCAAACTCGGCAGGCTTGGTGATGGTGATAGGGGTGATGGTTGTCGGGCCTGTGACATTCTCAGGAGGTCCGCCTCCGCCAGGGAACTGTTGCGAGACTTCGTTTTGAGCCTCACCGCCTTCCTTGGTCGTGAAGAAGATCCCAGGGAATTCCTTGAAGCTGATGACAGCGTCGTGCTGTGAGGTGTAGCGATCGAGCGGCATGGAGGGCTCCTCATGCGTTGGTTGTCATTAGACGGGCGCAACCTGAAATCAGGCGACCTCGTTCTGCTTGGCGATGTCGAGGAAGATCGTCTCGGCCACGCCCGCTGGTCGGAACCAGATGCGAGCGCGGACGTTGCCGGAGCTCTTATCTGCTGTCGAAAGCAACGACTCGTTCGCGATCACGCCGAACGAGTGGACCGCCGGATCCGCAGTCTCGCCAGGCGAGACCAGCGACCCTCGGAACGCCCGCTGGTCATGAAGATCGACAAGCAACCCGTAGAGGCCTAGCTCGACCTGGTTGAAGAACAGGTTGTCTGCCAAATCGAGGACGACTTGCTCGAGCGCCTGCTTGCCTCGGGATCCGATGATGCACCACAGAAAGGCAGCGTGGAGGTACTGCCATGCGGCGTCCTCAGTCGCGGCCCTCACGCCCCAGACCCTGGCCGGGCCAGCATCCTTGGCGTAGATGGGGTTGATCCCATTGGCGACCAAGTCCTCAGCCACACCTTCATCGATCAAGGGCATCCCGTTGGCCTGCGTCTCGAGAGAGATAACACCAGCGTCGATGCGGAAGTCCTTGCCGCCTGGAGCTTTACCAGGCCCGATTCGGTCGATGGCCTTGAGCCAGTCGGCGATGACGTGACCCACCGGGGAGATCGTCTTGATCTCGCTGGCGAAATTGTCGCGCACCTTGGGGCGTGGGAAGTAGAAGCCAGCGTTGAAAGCATCGAGCGCGGCGCGCTGTGTCTTGGCGGTCGCGACCGATGCGCCTTCTTGCGAGCTCGTCATGTAAACGCGGAAGTAGCTCTCGGACTGCTCGACCAGCTCGGCGATGACGGTGGCGTCCGAGTCCATATCCGGCGCGGCGATCCAGCCATACCCATAGGTGTGCGAGCGGAATGCCTTGAGCCCAGTCTTCACACCCGAGGTATCCGTGCCGACGATGGCGGCCGCGTTCGGTGCGTTGTCGTTCGTGCCGCCATCGGAGCTCACGTCGATGGTGGTCGTCCCGACAGCGGGTCGGTTGTCAGGTGCAGCGGTCGCGCTCCCCTCGTTGACGAGCTCGATGTAGTCGCTCCCATCGCTGACGCGCGCGAGGTCCACGTCGTTCATCTTGAGGTTGTCCCAGACTTCGACGACCTGGTCAGCTTCATCCTGGAGCGTGAGCTTGAATGTGTTGGTTCTGGTGCCGTCCGCGATGACGATGTCCCAGTCATCGAGGTATGCCCCTGGACCCTTGCCGTTGACCGTGAGCGTATCGAGCGGCGCGCCTGCGCGATCCTGGAGCGTGACCGAGGTCGTGTCCGCTGTCGCGCCGACGATACGCAGCACATAAGCCCTGCGTCCGCCCTTGGCGAAGAACGCCTTCAGGACCTCATACCCGGGGCTGTACCTCGTGCCGTCGGAGTAGGGCGTTGGCCCACCGAAGACAGACTCGAAGCGGCTCATCGAGGTGATGAGGGTGGGCACATTGACCGGCCCGCGCGCGGCGGTGAGCGTGATCAAAAAAATGGCGCCTGGGTCAGCCCCAAGCGCCAACGGTCCAGCGACCGAGCGGGTTGTAATGACTCCAACGCGGTTGCCCACGGGACCCTCCTCTTATGCGGTAGTGATGTCGATTTCGATGTTGTCGGGTACTTCTTCAGCACCCTCAGCGGCGAGCTCGAGGAAGAGCTGTTGCCACTCGGTCTTCGTGCGTCGGTCGAACACGGCGGTGAAGTAGGATGTGATCGTGATCAGCGCGCGACCTGTGTTGCCTGCGCCCGGCACGTAGCGAACCGAGAACTGGTCCGCCACGTCGCGCGCGTGGGCCTGCTCTTCGGCCTCGCCAGGCAACTGGCAGATGAGCCTGCTGTTGTGGACGAGCGTCTGGATCACCTCGTTGACGAGCAGCTCGCGCACCGTCGATTCGCTGACCGAGTTGCCCTTGGCGCGAATCGACCTGACCTGGACCTCGAGGCCGAGCACGCAGCCCACATCCATCGTGCGGTTGCCCGAGCGTGAGGTCCATGTGTAGCGCGAGAGCGTCTCGTCAATGAGGATCGCGGGCATCTGCGCATCGCTCACCATCTCGGAGGTGATCGCCTGGCGCGAGACGAACTTCACCCCTTCGATCCCCGAGAGCACAGTCTTGAGTGCTTCGAGCATCGCCTCGCGGGCGCTTGTTTCGTAGGTGGTCAAAATCGGCCAATGATCCTGGTGAGCAGCACATCCGCGCATGCGTCGAGGTCTGCGGGGGTGGCGTCCATGAAGCGGCGCTCGGGCATGCGCCGCGTGCCTTCGTCGAGCCACGCGGCCTTCTGGCCCTCGGTCCTCGATGCGAAGTAGACGAGCGCCACGTCACCGTCTGAGCGCCCGCGCATCGAGGCGAGCATGCGGCCTGTGTCCTGGAGCGTCACCGGAGAGGTACGGCGACCTCGCTTGCGTTTTGATTGCTTGGTCTTTTCGGCGTAGGCGTCGAACGGCATCCCGTAGATGTCCTCGCCGCGCCTGGTGCGGTCGATGATGCGATACACGAGCAGGTCTGCGCACTCGTCGAGGTCGGCCTTGGTGATCTCGATGGCAGCGTAGACATCATCGAGCATCTGCTCGAAGTCAGTGAAGTCTGCCTCGAGCATCGCTTAGCCTCGTCGGAGCCGGATGTATCCGTGCTCGTGCGTGTCCTTCTCCTCCTCGCTCGCCACGCCATCGCCATCGGTGTCGATGTTGATGCCGCTCGCGACCACGCGCTCGAGCTCGTCCTTGTAGTACTTCGCGTAGATCTTGCGCCTGGCGTCGAACACATCGTCCGTCATGCGCATCAAGTCCATCATCACGAGTTCCATCGTGCGGTACGTCGCGACGCGCGTGAGCTGATGGTTAACCCCACCGGAGGCAGCAGCTTCGTTGGTCACGCTCGCGAAGTTCGCTGGCGCGTCGTCCTCAAGCCCTGTCAGCCAACCAGCTTCCACATTGTACGGAGCGCCTGGATATTCGGCGGTGACGCCAATCGTGCCCGTCTGACCATCCGCGACCACGAGCTCCGCGTCCGTCACGAAGATGAGGCGCGCGGGCTTGGCGAGGTCATCGACGCCCAGGCCAAGATCAGGATCGAGCGCGACGATGCGCGTTCCCGCTGGCACGGTGAGTTGTCCCCCAGACGCAACAAAGGCCACCGTGCTGGTGGCCTTCTCGAAGTCGTCGATGATGGTGTGAGTGGGCTCGTCGAGGTAGCCTCGCCGCTTCAGATCTCTCAAGAGATCGTCGGCGGCCTGCGCGCTCTTCTTGCGCCAACTTCTCGCGTGGTGGTCGAAGAGTTGCTCGTCCTCTTCAGCGAGGTGTGCGTCATAAGTGAACAAGCTCATACTCTCATCTCCACCCAATCTTCGACCTCAAACCACTCGGCCCGCACAGGGCGCCAGTGGTGCCGACAGCGATACCCACCCCCGGTCAGGAACACGTTGGCGATCTGCCCGTTGTCGAGCGCGTCGATCTCTTCCCTGGTGTAGACCTTGTCGACGTGGCGATCGCAGAAGGGCCTGGTCGCCGAGTCGTCTGGACCGATGAACTGGAAGTACTCGTACCCGCGCTGCTCGGCGCTCTCGCTGATGACCGCGCGTGAATAGCCGATCACCGCATCATGGTGCTGCCTGTCGACCTCACTCGCGGCCTTGCCAGTAATTCGCTGGAGCTCGGCGCGAAGGTCACGCTCGGTAGCGCGCCCTAACGCCTGACGCATCACCGCGTCACGCAACGCATTGTGGTGATAGCGCCCGAGCTCCGTGAAGCCGTCGAGGAAGTTCGCCTTCACCAGCGTCGAGAGCGCGAGTTGGTCACTCTCGAGCGGATCCTCACCGAGCCTTTGCCAGCCATCGGAGAGCACATCGACCTGGCGGGTCAGCGCCGCCGATACGCGCTCGACGTGTTGCTCGAGCAGCAGGCTCGCGCCCTGCGCATCGCCGAAGCGACCGAACTCACGGCGCAACCTCGCGAGCGCCGCGGGGTCAGGCTCGAGCCTCCCGTCTGCGTCACGTGGCAGCTCTCCCACCACACGCTCGATGGTTTGCTCGAGCGCTCCCCGATAGGCATCGTTCAGGCCCTCGATCTCGGAGTCTTCGCGCTCGCTCAAACGCGCAAACAGCGCGCGGGAGACCTGGTCGAGACGAGAAGGCAATCGGGATCACTCGGGAAGAGGAGCCGTTTCAGACTGGAGCGCGGCGTCGAGGATCGCGTCGAGCATCGGGCCTTTGTTCATGCTCTCGGAGATCTCGAGCTCGAAGTGCTCGAGCGCGAAGGCCACGAGCTGGGGCTTGGTCAGGGCATCGTCGAGGGTCGCGCGATAGCCTTCAGGCAACGTGAAGGCCAGCTCTGTTGCGACGCGTTCTTTCCCCCAAGATCCGTTGCGCTTTTGCCACGCCTCGACTTCTTCAGCGGTTGCCTTGGTGAAGCCCTCGCGCATCAATGGCTTCACGCGCGACGCGCTGACAGCGACGATGCGGCCAGCCGTGTTTTTCATAAGAGGCATGACAGACCCTCCTGGTTGTGTGTTGGGTGAAAATGCGGGAGCAGGAATCGAACCTGCGTCGATGCGGCTTATGAGACCGTCGCTGGAGCCACTCCAGCCCATCCCGCATGGCGCCCCTTGCGGGGCAGCGGTCAGTTCAGGCGCTTGCTGCAACCATAGACAGCATCGATCGAACCGTGGCTGTCATCGACGTTGGACTCGACCATGACAGCGACCTGGTCGAAAGGAAGCGAATCAGGCGTGAGCGCGGTCTGGCTCGAGCCTGCGACTGTGCCCGAAGCGCTGCCTCCGCTCGCGTCCTGCCAGGCGCTGTAGGCGTTCGCGCTGTTCTTGTAGCGACCGACGATCTTGGCCGCGACCACGTTGGTGGCGTGGGCGTTGCTGACGACGAAGTTGCACGTGTCGTGTCCGGTGCAGTCCAGGATGGACTCCGGCACGATGACGAAATCGTTGGTCGTGGCTTGAGCGGAGTCCATCGCTTCTGGGTGCGACGGAGCAAGCAGCTCGAGTCGTTCTTCTTGGAGACGTTCCAAGCTCATGAGGCCCTCCCTGTTTGGGCGTTGGTGTGTCGGCAAAAGTGTGCGCGAGCTCGGTTCAGCTCAGGATCTCGACCATCTGCCTCGGGTCGTGCATCTTCGTGCCGAAGAGGACATCGAGCGAGTGGCGCACACCGAGCTGCGCGTGCCCGTAGCTCGAGATCATTCTGAAGGCGAGGCCGGTCTCAGGATCGACCATGATCGAGGCGGCCGCCACCGAGCCTGGGGGAGGCAATGGCAGGTAGCGCATGGCCAGCGTCATGCCATCTCGGTGTCCAGCGAGACCATGGTAGGTATCAGGTCCCGTGGTCTTCACGATGCGGTTCGACTTGTAGATGTTGAGCGTGTGGATCTCGCCCAGGTTACTCCTGCGCAGCGCCATCCCGCCGTCGCCTGCCTCGTTGACCTTCGTCAGCTTGTCGGTGTCGAGGAGGTTCTTCGCGTCCTTGACCGCGATCGCCGCGAAGCGAGTACCATCATCAGGGACGTTGGCGGTCTCCAACTTCTCCCAGACATCGAGCAACGTCGCGGTGGTGATCGGCTGCCCCGCCGCGCCTGCTTCCGTCGTCGCGTCAGTGTATGTACCAGCCAGACTGTCCTCGATCTTTGCAGCCAAGCGCCCGATGGCCTGCATCGAGTAATCGAGTGCTTCGTCGAGCGCCATGGCCGCGACCGTGTCCTCCATAGCCCACGGCACCACCTTGTGCTCGTTGAGCACGAGATCGACGGTGTCGTTGGACGGGTCTTGCCAGGACATGTCCGTCTTCTCCACCTTGTCGACGGCTTCGAGGTCACCGAGTTTGGGGATCTGGATCGTCTGGCCTTTCTGCCCAGGTTGGTCTCGGACATTTCGACGCACGAGGTTGGCGAGCACCAGGCGATCGCGCATGTAATCGAGCACATCGATCATGAACGGCTCGGGGATCACCGAGGCTGCTTCGGTCAGGGTGATGATCGGCATGGTTGGTTCTCCTTGGGGAGCTTATCTGCGGTCAGTCCAGCAGGCCCTTGCGCCTGGCTTCGTAGACCGCCTGTTTGTTTTCACGGATGTATTTGATGTCCCCAGCGCGCACGCGCTGGAGATCGAGGTCACCGGGTGTGGGGCGCGGTGGTGGGTTGTTCCCACCACCAGCACCACGACCGCCCGCTGCGCGTTGGAAGTGCGTGTTGGCGGCGAGGAACTCTTTCACGAAGTCTTGCGGCGTGAGCTCCTGACCGCTCCCGTTGGTTCGGACCTTTCCCTGAGCATCGAGGACGACGATGGTGCCGTCCTCGTTGTGGGTGAGCTGTCCTGCCAACAGCTTGGAAATCTGCTCGGGCTTGAGTGCACCCTCGTTGGTCGCCGCGCTCAGGAGGGCCGCGTTGATCTGCGACTCCCTGGCACGTCGCTCGATCTGTTCGCGCGCGGTGCGCTCCTGCTCGAGCCTTTGGGTGAGTTCTTGCTCGCGCTCCTCAGCCTTCTTTCGGTCGAGCTCGCGGAGCTTGTCCCACTCCTTTCGATCCTCGAGGCGTTTGCGCTCCTCCTCTTCGGCCTTTCGTCGCGCTTCTTCGGCAGCTCTGCGGCGCTCATCTTCCTTTTGCTTGAGCTCATCCCAGCTCGAGTAGCCGAGCTCCTCGAGGCGCTTGCGCTCCCGTTCTTGCTCACGAGCGAGGCGCTGTTGGACGATGGTGTCCACCTCTCCTTGAGGCACATACCCATCAGGTGGGTCCTTGGGAGGATCCGCCGGTGGATCGTCAGGGTCATCCTTGAACGCCATCGCGTGTGCTGGGACGAAGCCCAGCACGCGGCGAGGGTTGATGCGCGAGGTACGCCTGAAGCCGTGGCAGTCGTCGAGTTGACCGGCCGCGTTGAGGATCGAGAGTGTGAGCCTGTCCATGATTGACCTCCAAAATGCGAAAACCCACGCAGGCTCATGTGGGCCTGGTGGGTTGCCTTATGGCGAGCAGCGGGAGTGGCGCTGCTAACCGTGATGATCAGGCCCCTTGCGGTGAGCCCTTGTCGATCTTTGTTCTCAGGTCGTCGAGGATCTCTTTGAGCCGATCGCCTGTCACACGCCCCGAGAGGAGCTCACGCAGCGCGAACGCTTGCGTTTCGTAGAGCGCCTCGCCCGTGACGCCGAGTGACACGGTCTTGAGCGCGGCATCGAGCGAGTCCTTGAGGTCTTGCGGGTCAAAGCTGGTGGGGTAGCTGCGCTTGACCTGGAGCTTGTCTCGGTCGATCTCCATCCACCCCGCAGCATGCCTATCCACAGACTCTTCTGCGCGGCTCATGCGCTGCGCGAACTTGGCGAGCAACGCATCCTTATCGAAGGTGAGGTAGGAGAGCGCGATGCCTGTGGTGACGTGCTTGACCTCGGAGTTGACGCGCCCGAGGCCGCTCAGGTGACGGATGGTCCCCTCGGTCTTTTCGATCTCCGCGCGAATCGCCGTGATCTGAGCGATGTCTGGCGAGATGTAGTGCGGAGGTGTGCTCACCTCGTCGGCATAGACGATCGCTCCAGAGACGCTGAAGTTGATCGCCTCGAGCGCGTCATAGGTCGATTGAGGGACAGCGAGGAGCGAGAACACATACTGGTGGATCTGCTCGTCGATCAAGCTGACCAGGTTGACCAGCCGCCGGTTCTGCGGCTCGAGGTCTTTGAGGGCGGAGTCAGCAGCGAGCTCGCGGCCGTGACGCTTGCCCCAAAAGATCATCGTGATCGGGACCTCTCCCACCGGGTGGGTGTCCTCATCGACCTTACGAAACGAGGTGCTATCTTCCTCCTCCCCCTCCTTCTTCTCTTCGATGTAGAGCTCCCACCGGTCGGGATACCAGACGCGATACTGGTACTCGAGCGCGTCAGAGTCATCGAGCGGTTGACGTTCCTGGTCGCGAACTTCGCGAAGACAGGCCCAGGCGATCTGCCCACGCTTGTCCACATCCCAATCGATGAGATCCTCGGAGGACACCATGTAGCAGTAGGGGCGCACGCCGAGTTCGCGCTCTTGAGCTCGCGTCTCGACCTCGCCAGGATCATAACGGTCGGTGACGATCGCGACGCGGCCCTGGGTCTGAACCGCCTGCGCGACCTCTTCCCAGAACTCGTCGGCGGGCGTGCCAAGCATGTCGATGTCTGCCCAGAACGGTTCGAGGACCTCCTTGGCCAAGCCTTCTACCTCACGCGCGATCGAGTCGCGGTAGAGGTGGGCCGCGTAGGTGTCGACGATACTGCGAACGTGATTCGGGTAAATCGCCCGCGCTCGACGCACCTTGAAGTTGTCCGACCGCTCATGCTCGTGCTTGGCGAGCGCGATATGGACGTACTCCTTGCCCCCTTCATAAGCCAGGCGATACCGCATCCAGTCATGGCAATAGCGCTTGTAGAGCGGGTGGCTTGGAATGTCGCTCATCGAATGACCGGGATGTTGGCTTGGATTTTGAGCTTGGGCTTGGCGCCGACGAGCTGGTTGTACGCGTTCGAGCTGGCGTCCACGCGGTCCTTCAAGGTCGCGGTCGGGAAGCCTTCATGTTCGTCGAGGTAGCCGGGCACCCACAGCCCCGCGACCAGGCGACAGTTTCGGCGCCGCACCTGCGCGGAGAAAGGACCCGCGCGCACGATCTTGTCACCGGACTCGATGACGCCGGCGACATCGAAGCCCGCGAGGAGCTTGACGTAGGCGTTGATCTGGGCCTTGCCTGCCTGGCCAGGGTCCTGAGAGATCCTGACCTTGACCGCCTTACCATCTTCCCTGGCCGTGCGAGCGACGAGGTCCTCGACGGCGTCCGAGCCAAGCTGTCCCCACCGGACATCATAGACGACCGGGTTTTTGTCCTTGTCGAGCCCCATCAACACGCCCGCGGTGGCCGCAGGGTTCGGGTTCGCATCGGTGGGCTCGCTCGCGGCGAGGTCCCAATACCGGATGAGCTGGCCGACATGCGCGGGTGGTTCGCTGACGAGGACGAAGTCTTCGCGCCGGAAGATGTCCCCCTTGGCGACCGCCTTCCAGATACCCTTCTCGAGCTGCTCGGCGACGGCAGGCCCGAGCTCGGCGAGCGCCTCAAGGTACTCTTCGCGGTCGAGCGACGGGTTGTCTTCGAGCGTCGACGGCAAGAAGACGCGCTTGACCGTGTTGGGCGTGTCGACAAAGCGCTGCTTGACCCACTCGAAGCCAGGCCCCACCGGGTTCGTCGTGGAGCGCATACGCAACGGAACATCTGCGAGCGGTCCATGCTTCGGCTTGCGGAGACGCGAGAAGAGGAACGTGTAGTCGTCCTTGCGTCGGAACTCGGTGAGCTCCTCATAACCAATGAAGCAGTAGTCCGAACTCGCGTATCGGAGCTTGTCTCGTGGCCCTTCGATGTAGCCGAAGGTGAGCGTGGCGCCCGAGGGAAAAACCCACTGCTTGTCCTGCTCGCGCCAGACCGCGTCCGTTTGCGAGAGCCACATATCCGCGCGCGGGATCAACCCACCAGGGAGCTTGAGAGCCGCGCGGCTCGTGCGGAGGATCAGCGCGTTGTAGCCAGGCACGTCGACGTACTGGAGCGCAGCCATGAGCAGCGCGTCAGACTTGCCTCCCCCCACCGCCCCCCCGAAGAGGACCTCCTTGATGTCGTTGAGGAGGAGGAAGGCTTGCTGCTTGGGGTGCGGCTCGTGCGGTATGTACTTATTCAGCCTCGGTGTCGTCAGCGCGATCAGTCGGTCGAGGGAGTCCGAGGGCAGCGAGGATGCCTGCGACTTCGATGGCGCGTGCTCCTGGATCACTCTTCACCTCGACCGGCTTCTCGCCACCCTCATGGCGCACCGTTTGCCCATAGTGGTTGGTGACGCTCTTCTCGGTTTCGAGCTCGGCCTTGCGCTTGCGATGCGTCGAAAAACCGATGGCGTCGAGATACTTCCCGGCGGCGAGGGTGGTGACCTTGGACTTCGAGTAAATCTGCTTCGCGAGCTCGTTGCGATCCGCGATCAGCGCGAGGGCATCTTCAACCTCACCAGCCTGTTGGGCTTCGATGATGGCCTCATCGATCGCAGCGAGACGGCGCTCGATGGCGGCCACCTCTTGCGCCCCAGCCGTGTACTGGTCTTGCAACGCTCGGAGCGCCTTGAGGGAGCCCGAATGAAAGTGCTCTTCAACCTCAGCGTTGAAGTGACGCTCGCGGTAGTAAGCAACGAGTTCATCAAAGCCGCTGATGGTCGAGTACTTCCTTGCCGTGTCTGGCAGGACATCGATCTCGTCAGCGATCTTGGCCCACATGTGACCCCGGGCGCGAAGCTGCGCGGCACGATGGTGGCGAGCGATCCAATCTTTACCATCCTCACGCGTGGGCGCGTCGGGATGTGCATTTATGTTGATTTTTGTCATAGCAAGCGTCCTCGACGCTCTCACTTATACGCACGCACGCGCGTGAATGAGGTGAGCGCGCCTTCTCTCACCCGCTTGGTTGGCCTGAATGAACCGCCCGCACACATCAACACCCGGAGACGCACCCGAGCGTCTCCGCCACCGCATCGCAGGCGCGTTGCCAGTCGTCCTGAGCCGCAAGCTTCTCTCGAGCCTTGGCGAGTTGCGCCTCGGCCTTGGAGACGGCTCCTTCGAGCCGCTGGCGTTCCCGCTCGAGTTCCTCGCAGATCTCGGGCTGCTCGAGCACCATCTCGACACACTGCCAGATTCGGCGAGCAGCTGGTGAAGGTCGCCCACCGGAGAAGCCAGCCTCGAGCGCGGCCTTGTTTTGACGCCGTTGAGGGTCCTGGAGTCTGAGGCGAACGTACGCGAGCGTCATGCTGTCATTTTGTGGGTTGCTCATCCTCTTCCTCGAAAGCGCAGGGGTTGACGGCGAGCCTGACACGCGGCGCCGGCTCGTCTTGGGGCTCGAGCACCTCGTGCCAACACATGGCACCCTCGACGTACTCATCGACGAGTTCGAGGACCTCATACACGCGGCGGCGAGAGTACCCCGCGGGTTCCGAAGACGGGCTCATCCCGAGTACGCGCACTGCCCACCAGCATTGCCACCATCGGGCATGCTGATCGTGATGGCGAGCCATGTCCCTTTCGGCCATACGAAGCACGGTGCGAATCAAGTCGAACTCGTCCGCGCCGTCGAGGGGCGTCCAGTTCGAGACATTGCCTCCAGCGTCGTGGCTGGCGAGATAGGCTCGCTCGATGTCAAAACCTTGACCTGCGCTCTCGACGGCCTGGGGCTCGAGCTTGCGGTAGCGCGCAGCGAGCGCGCGAGGACCTCGATAGGTGCGAGAGGCTTCTGGTTCGGGTTGTGCGTAGTACTCCATGTTCACTCCTCGAAGTCACAGGGAGGAAGGCGCTCGAACTGCACCGCTGGAATCGTCTCGCGGCGCTCGAGGAAGGCGCGACACAACCGGTGCATCCCATCCATGATGTGTCCGTCAGGCGCGAGGATGATCGGGTGATCGAAGTCGGCATGGCTGACGCGATGGAAGTGAGTCAGCAGGTCGAGTCCTGTGATCTCACCCCAACGCGCTGTCTCGAGTTGGTCGAGGAAGGTGCGCGTGTCAGCTTCGAAGGTCTCGAGCTGAGTGGCGAGCTTCCACAACCGCTCGACGTGCCAACCCTTGCCGTTGTGTATGAACGCATGTCCTTCCATCACCACTCCACCTGGCACCACCCCAACGGAACGGGGCGTTCCCTGATTTCGCATTGGAGCGCCTTGAAAGCTCTGAGCACGCCGACGGTGACAAAAGCAACCATGGCCGCCAGGACGAAGGCCAACATCGCCGCAACCATGCTTATCGCAGGGTTGTCGACAAAAGATGCGCTGGTGACACACAAGCAGTACATCGCCACCAGAAGGAAGAAGATCAGCACTTCATCGCGCGCATAGTCGCACCTGTGTGCGAGGTGCCAGGCACGAGAGTCGAGCTCGGCACCTCGCACGACCCAGGCCTTCTCGGTGTGGCGAGTCATTGCCATCGTGAACATCGGTTCTCCTGTTTGCGCATCATCCATTCTTGCCTCCAAATAGTGCGCCCGCCGTTCGTGGTCTCCCTGGCTCCTGCATCCATGCAAAGCGCCGGGCGCTAATCCTCGATGTACGTGATCACGGTGTGATCGATAACCACCACGCGCCCGTGCGGCGTGGGGTACTTGCCATCGCCGATCTTCCTCGCCACACGCGATGGAAGGAGCGCTTCGAACTCGGCGTAGACCTCCTCGAGGTCCAAGCCGTAATCACTCGCCACGATCTCGAGCACCTTCCACTCGTTGACCTCGCACCCGTAGTGGCGCTGCAAGTAGCGCAGCAGTGCATGGGCCGTGATCTCGAGCGGTGGCGTGCTCACTCGTCTTCTCCCCTGACTCCCTCGGCCAGGATCTCGGCGCGCCACTCCTCGTTCATGGGGAGCAGCGTGTCGCGGTTCCAGACCTCGGCGTGCCCGAACTCGCCACACTCAGCGCATTCGAGGTCATAAGGCTCGATCTCCGCAGGCCAGACGTGCATCGAAACGAACCCGCAGTTCGTGCACGCGAGCCAGCCATAGGCGTGCGGCTCGTTATCGGGGTGCTTGAATGTGAGAATCCTAGCCATCTTGACCTTCTCGATCCTCGCCGTAGTTCAAAGGGATGAATACCGCAGGCACGACAACGAAAACTTCGGCGAGTCGCTCGCCGAGATCGAGGCGGTATTGGTTGGCGTTGGCTTGGCTGCAAAACCATCTCGAACCTGGCCCGATCGTTCCGAGCACTTCACCGTCCTGATCGAGCACATGTCGCAGATCGAAAGAGTCGGCGATGTGCTCGATGCTGTAGCCAGGCTTGAGGTTGATGATCCACATGCGCAGATCGTCTGACCCCGAGAACTCGCCATCGATGTAGGTGTCGAAGCAGCCGCCCTGATTGAGCATTTCGACGACGCAATCATCGTCATGGGTAACCTCGATTTTGCTGATCTTGCTCATGCTCGCGCTCCTTTCAGCAGCGACATCGCTGCGAAGATGATGATGGCCGCTACCTTAAAAGGCACCACGGCCAGCCAATGAAACCACTTCACTTCTGACTCCTTTGCTTGAGCGTCAGCGCCAGCAGGATGCATGACGCGACGATGGTTTTGTGCTTGTGCTTGCTCACTCGACCGCCTCGATCTCCTCGACCTCACCCCAGCGCGAGAGCGGCTCCTCGATGCGCGCGGCCATCTTCTCGATGATCTCGCGCGACACGCCGTGCACGTTCCGCTTCGCCGCGCGCTCCACCGGACAGCGGAACCGCTTGAACTCGATGGTGTATCCGCAGAGCTGCGCGTGCTTGACGTATGCCGCGCGCTCCCAGTTCTGGGTGTTCGTGTTGTCGACGATGATGTGCTCGTCGCGGCGCTCGAGCGCGTCGAGGAACGCGCGGTAACACCACAGGTGCGCCTTGCCGGCGTTGGCCACGCTGTAGCGGTACACGCCATCGGCGCCGATGTGGTAGCGGTCTGCGTTGACCACCGTCGCGCCGTTCTGCCTGGCCGCCCAGGTGCTCTTACCTGAACCCGGGATGCCTATGAGGATCGTGACCCGCTTCGATTCGTTTGCGTTTTGGAGGAAGAAGTCGCGCACCATGTTGAACTCAGCCTCGGTCATCAGGGCGATGTCGCGCTCGACGAGGGTCTCGACAGCTTTGTGCCAATCCGCCAGGAAGGCTTCGTCCTTGCCGAAGCGATCCGCGAGCTCACGGAGGTCCTCATACTTTTCTTCCTCGAGCAACGCGGCGAGCTCTTCGATGTTGGGCCAAGACGCGTCGTCAGACACACCTCCAGGCACCGCGTTTTCGAGAATGCGCAACCTCGACTCCTGGTAGCGCTCGAGCTCCACGAGCGCGTCACTTGCTTCGTTCTCGATGGTCAAGAGCACCGGGTTATCGATCCCCTTCGACGCGAGCTTGACGATGTCCTCGAGCGCTTCCTTCACCTGCTTCAGTTCCGTCATCTCCTCACTCCATGTGTGGGTTCCTTGAACGTTCCAGGAGGCCAGGCCGGACTCGAACCGACGACCTGAGCGATTGCTCGCCGCGTGAATCAGTGCACCTCATCACGCCCGCTATAAGCGCTGCTCTGCCAACTGAGCTACTGGCCCCGTGCGGCGCGCTTGCGGGAGGCGCGCGCCAAGCCTCAAAGGTCACGCGCCCGCGAGTTCGCGCTCGCGAGCGTCCTCTTCCTCGGTGAGCTCCTCGAAGATCACGCGGTAGACCTTGCCGGGTTTGAAGTAGTGCGCGGCGAAGGTCTTTTCGCCGTCGATCGCCATCTCGATCGAACCGTTGGGCGTTGCCTCGGTGAAGTGCGCGTTCGCCCCCCTGTAGACCATCGCGCTCATCTGGAGTTCGCCTTTGCCGTTCTCGTCCAGGTCCATGCCATCGCAATGGAACCTCGCCTCGACTCGCTGTGTCATCGTCCTCTCCTTGGCGCCTTCGCGCCGGTTGTGCGCACGGTCCATCCGCGCGGCTTGGTTCAAAACGCAACGAGGCCAGCACATCGCGTGGACATGCTGGCCTCAGTGATTGGATTGTATGGTTGGTTTACGCGGCCCTGCGTTGCTCCTGCTCGAGCACGCCGAAGCACGCCGCGCGCCACTCGCGGATCGCCCAGAGCGGGCAGTCGTACGCGAGCGCAATCTCCCATGTCGGGAGCTTCAAGTCCTCCACGCCGCGCTCGAAGCGTCGCAAGCGCGCCTCGTCCACATTCAGCGTGTCGCGCACCTCCTCGAAGTCGATCTCCGAGATGTCGCGCCAGTCCTGTGGGTCGCCCATTTCCTGCCCCTCGAGGATGCGGATCAGGCGCACCATCGCGGTCTCTTTCATTCTGTTCATGATGTCGTGTCTCCTGCAAGAGACGGCGCCGCGGCCGCTCCGTGGTGCGGCACGCGTCTCGACTCACGTGTTGGTTATCCGGGCAAACGAGGTGACTTAGCACCTCTCCCAATAACGCACTCCACCTTCCTCGAAGCAAAGGACATGCCCTTCGCGCTCGAGTTTGGAGAGGAGCTGGTGAGTCTTTCGCAGGGACAGTTGCAGCTCGACGCTCAACCGATAGGCCGTGAGCGGCCTGGTGAGCGTGTCGTACGCTGCTGCAAGGGGTGTGTTGATGCACTCGATTCGCACGCGTGCATCGTCTCTCCGAATCTTTGCCAGATTCATCGTGACCTCCAGTGGGGTTCGGATCTGCGTCGACATATTGGCCCGCGACGGCAGCTCCTGGTTGTGGTTGATCCTGAACCTTGTCAGGACTACTCCACAAACGTACAGTAGAAAAGTCGGTCACTGCAAGTATGTTATACTGCTCGGATAAGCAGCGTGCATAAAAAAGACCCACGCAGGAGGGCCATCCCACGTGGGTCGAATTTGCAGGTTGAGCTGATACCACAACGTGATCTGCCGTGAAGCCGATCGTTTGATAAGCAGCGCCCCCACTGGAGAGATCAGTATCCACGACCCTGTGGAAAACGTCAACGGGGCTCTCGAATTGGATGATCGTTTTGCGGCAAAAAACTGCTTCGAAGTAGAGGTTTTCGCATGACAGATCTGTTGATGTTCCCCACCCCGTACTACATGTTTTCCTACCACGAAGATCCCGAGCCACACGTGAAGGCCACGCGCCACGAAGGATGGCCTCCTGATCCTGGAGGCAAGGCCGCGTTTGTCTTGCGAGGCAATTTGACGGAACTCCAAATTGCAAAGATAAAGCTCGCCTTTTTGCATTGTGACGCCGAAGCGATCGCGAGGCTTTCAACGTCGGCCTCCTTCCAGGGCTACATGCCCTGAGTCCTGAAGGCGCAAGACAGCATCGAGCCAGGTCTCAGACGGCTTGACCTCGAGCTCCTCACCCAACGCATCCCAACGCACGCTCTCGCGAGTCTCGTTCACCAGGAGCTCGCGAGAGCGCTTGTGCGCCACGCCTGCGATCCTTGCCATGTCCGAGACGGGTAACAGCCACCTGTGTCGTCTGGCGAGCGGAGAGGGCGCGTGCAGCACGTACAGGAACGCGACCCCACCCATGGCGGCGAGGTTCGCCATGCGCTCGAGCTGCTCGTCGCTGACGAGCGCGAAGTCGAAGCGATCGGGATCTTGCGTCCGCTTGGCGTCGAACCGGATGGCGACCCCGCCTTTCAAGACGCCCTCGAAGTCGACGGTGCGATCCTTGGCGTGCACGCACTCGAAGCGACCGCGGCCCAGGGCGCGCAGGATGTTCATGCCTGGCTTGCGGCGCTCGACCTTGGCGCGCCCTCGGCGCCACTCCTGGTCGCACTCCTCGATGACGACCTGCTCCCAATCCGCCCCTGCTTTCTGCTGCTTCTTACCCAAGAGCCACCTCCACCGCATAGAAACCAGAGAAGGGAGGGTTAGGGATAGTTAGGGAGGGTTTGTAAACTTGTATTTCTTGGGTTAAGACACTGAGAACACACAAGAAACACAACACACAGACACACAAGGGAGGGTGCATGCGCGCGCGCAGGGGCGCAGGCGCACACGTGTACGCACACGCGAGGAAACTATCCCTACCCTCCCTGACCCGCATGAATGCTGGCCGAGAGACCAATACAACTATCCCTAAACCCTCCCTAACTATCCCTTCTCCAGTCCTCATGCGGTCCTCCGAAGGGTCAAGTGGTAGTGATTCACGCCGTCGGTCTTCTTCTTTTTGACCCCATGATGACGCAAGCGGAGGCCGAACGTCGTGCGTGTGGTCGCGCGGAAGTTCCCTTCGCTCGCCCATGTCTTGAAACGCTCGAAGACGCGCGTGGCGGGCTCCCATGGTCCCTGGTTGATGTGCTCGACCTCTTCCTCGAGCCAGATACCGATCGCGTCTGCGTTCGACTTCCACTCGCGCACGAGCTCCAGCGAGCTCGGGGGCATGGTGTAGTGATTCTGCTCGAGCAAGCGCTTTGCTCCACGCACCGCCCACGCCACGAGCCCGGCGCGTTCCTCACGCGCGATGCGCGCGGCCAGGCCCTTCTCTTCCTTGTCCGTGCCTCGGATGCGCACATCGAGGTCGAGCACGAGCCAGCGATCCCAAAAGCTCTTCCCCGCGCCTGGCACAGTCGGCCACTCGTTGACCGCGTAGAGGTGGCCAGCCTCGGGACGAAAGCGAGCGGCGCGCTCCCACTTGCGCACGAGCGTTTGCCACTCGCCCTCCATGATGGATTTGACGCGATCTTGCGCGAAGATGGCGCCCTGGCTCGCCTCGGTCAGCGTGTTGAGCCTCGCGCCGATCAGGAGCCCGAGCTTGTCATCATCATCGAAGTCGGCGGGGCCGATGTTGCAGACGGTGTCATCGGGGAACAGCGACTCGATGATGCGGATCATCGTCGACTTCCCCGCGCCCGCCTCGCCATACAGCAAGAGCGCGCGGTGATAGCGTGTGGCCAGGCCGAGCAGCGCGGCGCCTGCGAACTCTTGCAGGAGCTGCTCGCGCTCGAGCCTGTCCTCGGTGTGCCCCCAAACCTCATCGAGGTACTGCTTGAAACGGGGTGCCTTGGCTGCCTGGTCGTACTTGAAGTCAAAGCGCGCGCGTGCCTTGTGCTCGGGGCCTGGGTCGCGCACGTGGATCGATCCGCCATGCGAGGTCAGCACCGCTTCGAGGAAGCAATCCTCGAAGGCAATGCCGACCGGCGCGTCATCGAAGAACCCAGGGCCCTGCCCCCACTTCGAGGGCAGCGCACGCAACGCGCGCAAAGGCGCCGCGAAGCTGTTGATCTTCAAGCCTCGGTACTTGGGGTCACCGTCGGAGTCCACACCGGCGTAGACTTGCGTGCCCGCGAGCTCGCCGAGTTCGTTGATGAGGTCATCCTCGTCGAGCGAGACCCACACGCCCGAATCAAACGTCCAGACTGTGCCGATGTCATAAGCGATCGGAGCGCCACCCCCTTCGAGGTTCTGACTCACGCGCTCGGCAATCTCGACCGCATCCCCCCGCTGCATGGGTTGGCTCAAGACCTGGATGTGAAAGGTGGTGTTTGCCGGGGCGAGGTCGAGCTCTGCGAGTCGCGCGTTCACCGCGGCCTTCCAACCGACAAAGGCCGCAGGCGCGAGCGCGCGCTCGACGGCCTTGCAAAGCGAGTCCCAGGCGAGCGCGTCCTCGGCGCACGTCGACGCGGCCTCTTCGATGTGCTCGAAGGGCGCCCGCGCCACTTGATCGAGAGTAAAGCTCATGCCACCCCCTCGATCCTGACGGCGCCGTCGAGCAGCCGGTCCACCTCTTTCCAGCGCGAGGAGGGGAGCACCTCGATCGCGGCGCGCTTGATCTCGTCGCGCCAGGTCGCCTCATCGATTTCACCACCCGCCACGAACCTCGAGGTCGCGAGGCTCTCGGCGCGGATGGTCTCGTGCCTGTCTCCCTCGGCGGCGGCCCGGATGTTCTCACACGCGCGCCTCAGCGCTCCGGTAACACCCTCACTTTTGCTCAACGACTTGCGCGGCAATTTATCGCGTGCCGAGGAGTTCGGTTTGCTTGCTGTGGGTGGCGAGGTCGACGAGATCAGAAGGGACGGTGACCACGCCGCCAGGGATAAGGCCAGTGCGCGGCATCCCTGCGAGCGGATCGGCGACGCCATCGAATGAAGGCGACGCGGTGTAGTGAGGTTGAACGGGGTTGTATGGCGCGGTGTCGACGATGGGAGCATTGAGCTTGACCCACTCCCGCCACGAGTAACCGCAGACAGGACGGTCGAGCCAGAACCACAAGTGCATCTTCACCTTCTTCCAGCCATCGAAGCCAGCCGAGTTGGAGAAGTGCCAGACGCAACCCGCGTCATGGAAGCACGCGGGGAGCTGCTCGAGCATGAAGCGAGCGACGGCCTCCCCATCCCCTGGCTCGACACTTCGAGGCCACTCGACCTGGTCGACATCGATCAAGACCCATCGACGGTCAGCGGCGCGGTAGCACGCGCGGCTATCATGGTCGTCTCGGTAGATGCGACGATGCGGCTTGCTCGCCTTCACGTCTTCGCGCACGTCCCCGCGCATAATCCAACGCGTGGGTTGCCCTTCGAGCCAAACGAGCAGGTCGCGTAGCTTCTCGAGGCTCGTGACTTCGACGGCCTGGGAGGTGATCAGCTCGCCAACGTCATAACCGTCGGCGAGGAACTCGCCCGTCTCGGGGTCGTGGAAGTAGCGCTTGTGCGCGCGGTGCGTAATCGGACAGCCCGCGATGGTGAGGGTGTCTGGGACGAACGGCGCGCCCTCGAGCACGACCTCGGCATCTTCGCGCCCGAGTTCCTCGACCGCGGGAACCTCGGTAGGTTCGTCGACCTCACCGTTTTGCTCGGCGAGCGCGCGCCGATACAGGTCGCGCCAGACGGCATCGAAAGGACGCGGGCCAGGCTTATCGCAGGCAAGCCCAGGGCTCGTGGCGCGACGATAGTTGAGCGTCTGCACGTACTGCGCATAGGCGTGCAACATCTCTTCAGGGGCATCGAGCCCCGAGAGATGATAGCAACCCGTGTAACCGGATGAGTTGATGGGACCGTCCAACATCCCGTCGCTTCCTCGTTGACGGGTTCCCCCGCCCAAACTAGAATTCTGCATGGTGACCTCCTACATAGGTCATTGGTTAGAGACCCCGCTCGACTGCAATTCGAGCGGGGTCTTTTTGTTTTCAGGGCAAGTCAAAGCACACTTCCCCCGATGCTTCATTGATTTGCAACTCACAGATAAGACGCTGCTCATGGGCTACTCGAAGCCCTTTGAAAACATCTTCCATCGCGAAGATGTCGAGAGGTTTCGATTTGAGATTGCGTTTTACCGGCAGTTTTTCTCCCTCGAGGAGAAATGAAAGGATTAGCACTTTGAGTCCTCGTCCGCCCTCGGGGCGGGAATCCAGCAAGCGCAGAATTTTATTTGGAGTCGCGTTGGACATGTGCCTAACCTTTGATTCACCACCAGAACAATAATTAACCAACAGTTTTCATAATAACAAGACGCAGAGCAAAAAAAAGCACGGAAACATCCGTGCTAATCGGTGGGGTCAGGTTTGGCGAAGGTCAGCGAAAGGAGATGGCTTCACATAAACTGAGGATCAAAGGTTCTTGATGCCGTCGTAAGTCCTGTTGGCGATTCGTTCGCGCTCATCAAGGGTCAACTCACGACCCAGAAACTTTTCCTCCTCGTCAATCTCCAAGACGATCGTGTCAATCAAGACCATGACGCGACCATAGCGTTTATTGACGTGGTTCAGAGCAGCCAAAATAGCCCTAATGTTCGGGCTATTGCCGTCTTCAATCTTTTTATACCCGGGGCCGCTCATACCAATAGCAGCTCCAAAATCCGCAAGGGAGTTGTTCTCAAACTCCCCGGACAGCCTGGCGCGCTTAAGGAACCAGCCGATACCCCAAAGTATCAGATCTGCGTCGTTAAGTTCTCGAGCCACGTATCCTTCCACTTCCAGTCGGGTCTCAACAGCAACCATATGCCTCTCCATCTCCTCGTTTGTATCGCAGCAAGAGCCCGATCTCAAATGTGATAATGGACACCGGTAGACAAAATGTCAACTGAGGGTTAAGAAATGCATTGACACATTTCACTGAAGGATTATCTTGAAACTGTCAGTTAACGAAAGCAGGCGGTTTTGACATGAACGATATGAGCAAATTGAACGAGGTCGCAGAGACCACGAAGACCAAGGGCAAGCTGACCCTCACTCTCGAGGCGAGCCAGCGTCTCTCCCGCCATCTCTACATGCGCAAGCGCGACAGCAAGCAGAAGCAGATCTTCTTCGAGCGCCGCACCGCGCTCGGGTGGCTGCGCCTCGAGGTGGACCTGTGGCTCGAGGTCGGGATCGTCACGCTCGAAGACGAGCGGATGAATGTCCAGCGCTCGCTCCCCACGCCACCTCCGAGCAACGCGCGCCGCTCGCGCGACCCAAACCCTCGGGAGCGCCAGGAGCTGCTCGCCAAGATTCGACGCGAACAGGGCGACCCTGAGCTTTCTTACTACCGCGGCTACCGAAGCTGCTGATTTCAGTCCTCTCGAAGCGAGGAAGGGAGAAGATACCGTGACGAGAGAACAACTCCAACACGAGATCGAGACCATCCGCGCGAAGCGCCTGCGCGCCGAGCGCGAGGTCGATGAATACGAACGTCGCGCCACCCGCGCTTGTCGCAGGGGCCAGGCCATGCACGTCGAGCAACGCGTCAAGGAAATGGAGCTCGAGATGGTCACGCCGCTGTACGAGCGCGAGCGCGAACTCACCAAGCAACTTGAAGAACTGGAGGCATCGTGAACCGAAGCTGGCGAACGCGCGCACAGGACGTGCGCCCTGGAGAGGTCGTGTTGGCGAGCTCGCGGCTCGCGTCGGACAAGACCGAGGTCGTCGACGAGGGCGAGCGCGGCGAGGTGTCGGCGGTGCTCGACGGCGGTGACTTCTTTGAAGAGGACGCGGGCCTCGTGGTCCTCCAGGTCGAAATCGAAAGCGGCTCCACGCGCTACTGGCGGTATCGCCCGGGCGCGTGGGTCGAACTCCCGAACCACCAAACCTTTCAATCCATCGCTTAAGGAGGCGCCATGTCGGCAGCCCTGCCCACATTCATCAAACCCATCGAGGAGGTCTCGCGCGACGCGGGGCTCTACATCCTCGTGTACGGCAACGCGGGAGCAGGCAAGACGACGCTCTGCGCGACGACGCCTGACCCCGAGAAGACGCTCGTCTTGAGCGCCGAGCGCGGCACGCTCTCGATCAAGGACTCGGGCGTCAAGTGCGCCGAGGTCAAGACGCTGGCCGACATCCGTCGGATCTTCAAATACCTCGAGAAAGGGGAGCACCCCTTCGAGTGGGTGTGCCTCGACTCGGTCTCCGAGATCGCCGAGGTCGTGCTCGAAGAGGAGCTCACCAAGAACCGCGATGGCCGCAAGGCTTATGGGGAGATGGCCACCACGATGGTCGCGCTCCTCAAGACCTTCCGCGACCTTCGCCTGAACGTCGTCGTGCTCGCGGCCGCGAGAGAGAAGGACGACGAAGGGCGCATTGTCCTCGCGCCTGACACCCCTGGAAACAAGCTCGCCGAGAAGCTCCCCTACCTCTTTGACGAGGTGTTCTTCCTGCACGTGGGGAGAGGGGAAGACGGCGAGATCAAGCGCGCGCTGCTGACCAGCAATGACGGCAAGCGCGTGGCAAAGGATCGCTCCGGCAAGCTCGCACAGTGGGAGCCTGCCAACCTCACCACCCTCCACACAAAGATAATGGAGACTGCTCAATGACCGCACTCAACTGGAAGCAAAAACGCGCAGAACACGTCGAGTCTGGCGCGCTCGAGAAGGCCAAGGACGGCACCGTGGTCGAGCCCATCCCAGTGGGCACCTGGGTCGACCTCAAGATCGACCGCGTCGACGAGAAAGAGACCCAGTCCAACGGGCTTCGCATCCTCATCACCTACAAGGTCGAGACCCCCGAGGAGTTCAAGGGGCGCATGATCTTCTCGGGCCACAACGTCATCTGCCCGAGCAGCGAAGACGCCGAGCGGATCGCGCTCGAGAACCTCGCGCGCATCTCGATCGCGTGTGGCCTCGAGGATGTCGTCGACGACTTGCCAGACCTCATCGGGCGCACGTGCCGGGCGCATGTGTACGAGCACGACGAGTGGCAAGGGCGCGTCCGCGAGCAGATCCGCGACTGGACCACGAGCGATGTGGAGGCCACGCCGCTCGAGTACGCCGATGACGAAATACCCTTCTGAACGCGAGGACGATGATGACAGCACACACACCATCAGCCCGCGTGCTCGGATATGCGAACACGCACGAGGAGTGGCTCGAGCTTAGACGCCAGGGCCTTGGCGGGAGCGACGCAGCGACCTTGCTCGGCGAGTCGAAGTGGACCCCTCCCTTCGAGCTCTTCATGCAGAAGATCGGCCAGGCCGAGGGCAGCGCGCCCAACGTCTACACGAAGGTCGGCACGCTGCTCGAGCCAGCCATCCTCGGCGAGGTTTGCCCGGGCGCGACGCCAGGAGAGCAGCTCGGCACGCTTCAATCTCTGGAGCGTCCGCACATGCTCGCCAACGTCGACGGGCTCGATGGTGATGTGCTCATTGAGATCAAGACGACCGCGGAGAAGTCGAAGCGCTACTGGATGGCAGGTCCGCCAGACCACTACCGCGCGCAGGTCCAACACTACCTCTACGTCACAGGCCTCGGGCGATGCATCGTCCACTGCGGCTTTATCACGGGCGACCGACGCACGCTCTTGACCCTCATGCAAACCGGCGCGCTTCTCCCGCAGGAAGTCGTCGAGCACATGGTGGAGATCGAGAGCTTCGAGCTCGAACGCGATGAGGCGTGGCTCGACTACTACCTCCCACAGGCTGATGCCTTCTGGGAGAAGGTCGAGCGCGAGGCATGGGACGAAGAGGCTTGTCCATTCTGACGGCGCTGTGGGGCGGCATATGCGCGCCCCGCTTCGGGTCACACCGAGGCGCCGCTTTGGGTCAATGCAGGCCCATCAAAGTCAAGGAGACTCGAAATGATGGTGAGCACCAGGAAGGTCGGAGAGAAGGTCGCAGTCTACCTCAAGAGCACGGGCGAGCTGATTTGCTACGTCGAGGTCAGACAGATCAGGCGCGAACAAGTCCGCGTGGGTGTGCAGGCACCTCAAGAGATCGGCATCGACCGGTGGGAAGTGTTCTGCGAGCGCGAAGGCATGGAGGTTCCTCATGACCAGCCCTGAAGACAAGGTGCTCGAACTCTACGCGCTCGAGCGACGCGCGAAGATCCCCGAACTGGCTGTCGGCCAGTGGCACGCGCAGCTCCTCGAGCAGCACAGCGCGGGTGATTTGCTCGGCCTCGGCAACGAGGAACTCGGGAAGTTGCTGCGCAAGGTGCGAGGGATGGCGCCCGAGCAGTTCCGCAACTGGATCGAGGCGCAGCTCGGGGACGAGGACCTCGAGCACTTCGAGCCGCAAGACGAGCCAGGCCAGCCGCTCGGTTTGTTCGTGGCGCGCTCGCCAAACCGAAGAGGTTTGCTGTGAATGGAGAAGAGAAGGCGCTCAAAGAAGCGCTCGAGGAGTTGCACGCGAGAGGGTTCCGCGTGCGTGAAGAAGATGTCGAGGTCGACCGCTATGACGAGGATCTCGTGGTGACCTACCCCGACGCCTACTGGGGCGAGAGCGACGAGGCCGCGAGGGTCGAGGTCAAGATCAAGGAGGTGCAGTCATGAGCACTCGAGTTGTCAGTATCCATCGCGAGGCTCACACCGTCAGCATCATGCGCGGTTATGGACGCAAGTGGGGCAATCCTGCGCGTCTCGCCTCCCGTGATCCGCTCGACGTGGTCGCGTGCCTCTTGGCGCACGCGCGCCACCTCGAAAAGTCTGGGCTGATCGATAACGTGCGTGAGCTTCGAGGAGAAGTGCTCGGGTGCGTGTGCAAGCCCGCCCGCTGCCATGGAGACACGCTCGCCCGGTGCGCCGATGCCGACGATGCCCGCGCGGAGCTCCAACACATCATCGAGGAACTCGAGGCCGAGTACTCGAGGATCCACGACGAGCGCCACGCGCAGCAAGACATGTTCGGGGGAGGTCTGTTGTGAGCCAACTCGAACTCATCGAGGGGCAAGGCTCCTACCAGGCCGGTGCACGCGATGACCTCGACTATTACCCCACGCCGCCCGAGCTCCTCGGGCCGTTGCTCACGCGCTGGGGGATCCTTCGAAGCAAGCAGCGCGTGCTCGAGCCGTGCGCAGGCCGAGCGCTTTCGCTGGCGCGCGTGCTCCAGTCGGAGGGTCACGAGGTCCTGACCGCGGATATCGATCCGCTGGCGCCTGTGGACGTGCACGTCAATGTGCTCGAGCACGACTGGAGTCAGCACAAGGCGGACGTGGTCTTGACCAACCCGCCTTATCTGGTGGGCGACATGCACGCCGCTGACGTGATCCGCGCGCTGCTCCCTCACGTGAAGTGGGGCGTCTTCCTGCTCCGCACGACCTTCAAGGAACCCTGCGCAAACCGGCTTGACCTGGTGACCGGTGAGGGCGCGCCCGTGCGCGTGATCACCAACCCTCGAGTCTCCTTTCGCGGCAAGGGCACCGACACGACCACGACGAGCTGGTTCATCTGGCGCGGCGCCAAGACCCGATACCTCCGCATGCCCAGGCAAGGTTGGTACGGCGAGACCGTGCACCCCAACGAACTCGAGCGATGGCGCATCCGCTTCGCCGAGAGGGGGTTGCTGTGAGCCAGTTCAGCCACCTCACAAGAGACCAGCTCGAGAGGCTTTATGCACTCGCGCTCGAACGCGCGGCGATCGCCGAGGGTCGCATTGCAGCAGCTGAGCTTCGCGCCGCCAGGGCCGAGTCTGATTTGAACCGATTACAACGCGCGCAAAAGGCCGCGGCCAGGCGCCGTGCACTGCGCGAGCAAGGACAGGAGGAACTCGCGATATGAAAGCAGAACAAGCATACGAAGCGCTTCGCTCCGCGGCCGAGAAGGTCGCCGACACTCGACACGAACCGCACTCGGGCCGCACCGAAGCCTATGAGGCGATCGTCAAGGTCATCGACGAGGAGCTCGCGCCGAAGCTCGACGACGTTTACGAGGCGCACCAAGAAGAACTCGCCGCGCCCGAGGACTACCGAGGAGGGATCCTCGAGGAACTGCGGCGCGAGCGCGAGAAGCAAGAGAAGAAGTGGGACATCGTGCACGACGACGCACACTCCCTCGAGGAGTGGGTCGCCATCCTCGTGTGCGAGATGGGGCCTATCCCGTGGGGTGGCGAGGTCGACTCGCGCACCGCGCTGGTAAAGGTCGCCGCCGTGGCAGTCGCTGCAATCGAGGCCATCGATCGTCGCGGTCCTGGGATCGACTGAAGGAGGAATGAGATGACCAGCAGACTGATCACAAGAGTCGAATGCGACCACCAGGACTGTGCTGTTCACCGCGATGTCCGAGAGGTCGCACCAGGCAGCGCGCGCGAAGCACTCCGCCGCTACGGATGGAGCTGTGAAGACATCGGCGGGGACTACCGCGACTACTGCGGCGCTTGTACCGAGCTGCGGCGCCAGGCCGAAGAGGCCGAGGAGGAAGGGAAGTGAGCACGCAACCAATCCAAATCGACACTGCGCGCGCCATCATGCGCGGCCAGGCCAAAGACCTTCGCCACAACCGCAAGCTCGACGATGCCGCCATCGCCGAGGCGAACAAGGCCAAGCTCGAGCAGCGCCAACGGATCCCCTGGATGTGGCGCATGCGCGGTGCCTTGAGGGACTGGTGGGTAGGAGGGAAGCCATGATTCAACAAGCGCCACCACGCACCGGCGAGCTCGAGGTGTACCGCATCGCGGACCTGGTGCGCGCGGGTTGGTCGAAGACGGAGCTGCTCTCCGAAGGACACGACGAACACCTCGTCGATGAGGTGTTGCGGATTCGCGACGAGGTGCTCGAGCAAGAACGCCTCGCGCCCCTTCGGGAAGCACGTGCTTCGAGAGAGCAGAACGGCGAACCCATGGACCCTCAGCGCGAGGCGCAGGCCGACGCGCGCAACCGATGGATCGCCAGGAAATACAAGGACACCGACGTGCCACGCACCGAGTGGCAGACCGCCTTTCGACTCTCCCGCAAACCAGGCGCGCCCGCGATCGACGGCATCCGTTATCGCGCACGCCAGGAGGGAGAGAAGTGGGCGCACTATGAAGAGATATCGACGGAACACTTGAGGGTCGATGTGCCCGATTCCGTCCAGTGGCTTTACAGGATCGCGCCCGGCAAGGGGTTTGGTCCGCATGGAGAGGAGATCGAAGTGGTCAAGCAAGCGACACCTGAAATCCAGCACGAAGACGAAAACATCACGTCCCCTCATCAATGGCAGACCATCAGCATGATGCTCGAGCATCCCGGGGCGCCTGCTTCGGACAACTCCATAAGGAGAAGAGCGGCGAGCAAGGCTCCCCGGTGGAAGCACTACGAGCTCAAGAACATCGAGGGGGAGATGGGTTACTGGCCTCCCAACACCAAGCACCTCTACAGGCTCAAACCGGGCACCACCTTCGAGCCCTTGCAAGCGAAGGTCACGCCCAAGAAGAGCAAGGTGGCCAAGCCCGCCGAGGTCAGGTTGGAGGTTCCGCCCGAGCATGAAGATCCCGAAGTACTCGACCTGCGCGTCGAGAACGCAGGGCTCAAGGAGAGCCTCCACGAATGGAGGCGCCAGGCAGCCAAGGGGTACAACAAGGAGAAGGGACTGCTCGCCAAGATCAAGAAGCTCGAAGAGACCATCAAGAAACTCGAGGAGGACAACGAAGAGTTGTGCGTTGGCTATGGTCTCATGAGGGATCAGCTCGACGACACATCTGCGAGGCTCGACTTCCTCGAGAAGGATGAGCGAAAGGCGCACCTCTACCTCGAGTACTTCGGTTTCGACCGAGATGGGACGAGCGTCTCGGACAAGCTCGAGCAGCTCGTTGCCCGTCAGGATGTCAGACACATCGGGGAGCAAGGTGCCAGGGCCGATGTGCTCGAGTGGATCGAAGCAGCGGACGCCTGGGTCAAGCATGGCGACGAGGCGCCGCTGCTCAGGATGCTTTACATCGCCTCGCGTCAAACGGCGGTGGCGGGATGAGTGGTGAAATGCCCAAGGAACTCAAAACATTGAGCGCGGGCGCGCGGTTGCGAGAGGACGCCCTCGATATGGTCGACCGCGCGAGGGCTGAATTCCGAGATTGGGAGCCGGAGTGGGGACCATGCCCGAGTCCGTTGGCTGGCCTCGACTACTCCGTGGTCGACGAGGCTGTCGAGATCGTCGAGGCCATACGCGAGGACATCCGGCGTTTCGCTCGCGCAGGCATCGGCGCCAGGGAGGCGCACGAGATGGGAGCAGCCATCGAGGTTGTGCGCGCACTAGGAGGAGAACGATGACCAGCGAGAAGGCATTACAGATTGCGCAGCTCGTCAAGCTGTTTGCTCGTGTCATGACCGACGAGGACACGGGCCAGGCCGAAGCAGCGGCGCGCGAGTTCAACGAGAAGCTCGACGTGTTCTTCGAGGCGTTCCCCGAGGAGAACATCACCACGTTCGCATGCCATCTGAGTCGCGCCATCGACCCACCAGGTGACATCGAGACTCCAATCAACGCCGATGTGTTCGCACGTGTGTTGTCAGATGTGGTGGCGGTGCGAGGAGGTGCACTGTGAACATCGAGAGGGAGATCCTGGAGGTCAGGGCGCGACGTGAGGTGCTCAGTCATATCCGGTTCGTCAACCTGACCGGTGTCGGCTGGTGGTTCCTGTTTTGGATGTTTGTTTTCGGGGTTGTTGCCCTGCTCGCGCCAGCCGCAGCCTGGGTGAGTTTGTTCGCAACGTTTGCATGGTCGAGCGCTTGGCTGAGGAGAACGAGACGGCTGGACTTGGAGTTTGATGGCTGGTGGGAGGTTCAGTGCGCGCTCTATGACGAGAGGGTGCGACGCGACCAGGCGCAGCATGAGGAGGTGTCGCCATGAAGATCGGCATCACAGGAAGCCGCTATGGCATGACCGATGCCCAGCGTCACTGCTTCGACGAATGCTTCGCGAAGCTGGCGAAGCGCCTCGCCGCTGGCGAGTGGGAATCCATCACGGTCATTCACGGCGACTGCAAGGGCGTCGACGCCCAGGCCGACGCGCTCGCGAGACAGCACGGATTCAAGACCGCGTGCCATCCCGGCAACATCGAACGCTGGCGAGCCTACACGGGCGCCGAAGAACTCAGCGAGCCAGCGGCGCCGAAGGTCCGCAATCAACGCATCGTCGATGATGTCGCGTGGCTGATCGCCATACCTCGCAGCGACTCGAAGGGCACCTGGATGACCTACGGCATGGCCACACAAGCAAGGAAACCGCGAACCGCCATCGAGATGGATGGCACGGTCGATACAAGGAAGGGAGACGATGAATAGCGAAGAGCTTGCGGCCGCGCTGCTCGGCGAACTGCGAGAGGCGCTCACACGACCCGAGTACCTCTCAGACGAGGACCTCGCCAAACTCCTCGACATCCCTTCGGATCAGGTTCGCGCGCGTGTTCGCGCAGGGACGCTGCCAGGAAAGGAGATCAAGAAGGGTCGCACACTGACCCGACGCGTCGATTTCGATGCGTGGCTCGCTTGCCCGCAGAAGAAACCAGAGCGACAACCGAAAGCGTCGAGCCCGGCAAGTCTCGACGCAGACAAGGACATAGAAGATGGACAACTACGAACTCGTGGAGACCGGAATCTATCAGAACGAACAGGGGCGCTTGAGGGTGCGAGCGACCGCGACCGATCCCTTGACCGGCAAGATCAAGGAGAGGCAGCGGACGCTCAAGGCGGGCCAGAGCATCGAGCAGGCACGCCAGGTCCTCGACGCGCTCAAAGCAAAAATCGGCAGCGTCGAAGCGGAAGCACCAGCTCCCCAGCGGATGACACTGCGCGATTATTCGCAGCGGTGGCTCGAGGCCGGGGCAGCGAGGCTGGCTAAAGCCACCGTCACAAAGCATGTGCTCACGCTCTCACACCACATCTTGCCAGAGCTCGGGGACTACTACTGCGACGCGCTCACGCGTGAGGATGTGCAGGCATGGGTGCTCGCAGCGGAGAGCAAGCGAAAGGAGGACGGCGAACTCTATGGAAAGGGGAGCGTGGAGACATGGTGGCGTGTGTTGCAGGAGCTCCTGCGCGATATGGTCGCCGATCTGCAACTTCCCCACGACCCCACCGCGAGGGTCAAGAGCCCCAAGCTCAAGCGCGCACCGAGGAAGGAACGCCAGACCTTGACGCGCCAGCAGCTCGGAGAACTCCTCGAGGTGGTCAAGGACACGCCGAGGTGTGCCGAGGTCACCATGATGGCGCTCACAGGGATGCGACCTGGTGAGGTCTATGGGTTGCAGTGGGGAGACATCGACTTCGATGGCGAGCGGATTCACATCCGGCGCTCGAGCTCGAAGTCAGGAGAGATCGTGGAAGGTGGCAAGACGGGGGTAGGGCGCGAGCCGTACATGCACCCGCTGATCGCCGAGCGTCTGCGAGCTCACAAGAAGCAACTCATCTCGAGCGGTGCGCGAGGATGGGGAGAAGAGGACTGGGTCTTTCCGTCGACGGTGGGGACACCGCGCCGAGCTGGTTCGATGCGAAAGGCAATGAGCACGCTGAGCGAGATGCTCGAGCTCGACTTCAACATCACGCCGAGTGTGCTTCGTAGGACCTTCAACACGTTGCTCGAGGCGGCCAACGTCGACAAGCTCGTGCTGTGGAGTCAGCTCGGTCACTCCTCGGATGCCATGACGAAGCACTACTCGTATGTGCATCACGACCGCAAAAAAGAGGGTGTGCTCCGGGTCTTCGATCCGGCGGAACTTGGGACCTGACTTGGGACCCACCTTGCAAACTTGGGACTTCATCGAGGATTGCGAGGAGCAAGAAACAAAGAAGCGCCGCATGTACTGCGACGCTTCTTTTAGTGGGCATACCTGGGATCGAACCAGGGACCCCTTCCGTGTGAGGGAAGTGCTCTCCCGCTGAGCTATATGCCCGTATCGTGCTCTTCCAGGCGGGTGTTGTCTGGAAGGATGATTGGTATAGGGGATGCGATTTGTTTTGGCAAGAGGTTTTCTTCGGGTTGTCGGAGAGGATATTTTATCTGTATGCTTGACCCTCCAACAAGAGTATGTGGAGGAGACCGACGCTGCGTAGACCGTAAGGTTTATGTCGGCATAAGCCGGAGGTATGATGATCGTCAATACCTTACATCCCGAGAGCGCTCTCGATGAGTGGCAGCGCGCCAACGCGTCCAGCGAGCCTGGACGCGTGCCCGTGCTGATCGAGAACCGTCGCGTGCTCGAGAGCCTCGCGACCCGCTCCTCTCACCAGGCCCGCGAACCAGAAGACATCCTCGAGCGCGTCTCGACGGTGGACCTGGACGCCTGGTTGCAAACACGTAAAAACCTCGCGCGATGCCTCGCCAAAAGAGATCCCGGCGACGACCTCTCGCGCTACATGCACGAGTACGGGCTCGCCGAGGAATCACTCGAAGAGGGGAGCGATCCGCACACCTCCTTCTCGCTCTTCGAGCGCGACGCCCTACACCTGCTCACCGA